GTCATAACGCGCTTCATGGCAGCCATCATGTGGTAAGTTAATGCGTCATCTCTTCCATATCGCACGTTACGAAAGCGGAACTACAGAAAAGATCAGAACTGAAACACTCGCATTCAGGTTGGGCCCCATCGGCATTCCGTCGATGATTGCGCAAAAGATGCTGCAAGTAAAAGATCTTGTTGGCACATTCCGCATGCTGGGATTTTTCATCGCTTCTGTGATTCTCGGTAAGAGCACAACTTCTGGTTTACCCGTTAGGTTGAACTACCTATTATTGTTTAGGGTTAGCTATCGTGTCACTCGTCACACTGCCACTTGTCTTCGCGGTGATAACCAGAAGAAACCCTTACAAGTTCATAAAAGCTCTGAATAGAGCCTTACTGCAGGGCGTCGCCACGTCGTCAAGGTAAGTTTTCATCAGATTGTCCCACCCACGTCGTTCACCGGAAGAGAACGATATTTTAAGCGCCGCCAGCCTGCCGGTGACTTTTGAATGTGTGCGTGACTTGAATCTGGACCCACGAGTGGCCAAATTTGTGCTGACCGTCGGCACGATCCTGGCAACGGTTCGCTTTACAGTTTGTATCTGTTTTCACTGTTTTCAAAACAAAAGTACAATTTCAAAAACAAGATGGGGTACAAAGCACTTGGCGTTCATCTCATTCTAGGATGCGCCGTGCACTTTGCCTCCATTCAGAAGCGTGGCATTTCCGATGTTCAAGTCAGTGTTTTTATCCTCCCAGACAAGTCTGGTACCAATTAACCGACCCCGGAGGGATGGAAGGCTTGGTTGGCCCGGGCGACTCACGACCCAGGATTTGATCCCCGGACCGCTCGCGTGGTGAGCGCGCCACTTGCCACTACACCACTTCCGCCCACAGAAGATAATGTGTGGGCCAAATATTATAGCTATCCTACTATATATAATCCGCTAAGCGTGTGTGTGTGTGTGTGTGTGTGTGTCTGTCTGACCGGAAATTCGTAGCTCGGGTCACAGCAATGATAGCGCCATGGTTCTTACATATGTTATAGGGTGGGATGGGGACACAAGTGGTATATGATAGGAACTGATAACGACTGATAATAGCTGATAAGAGGGGCTAGAAAGCGAGCATCGCCAATTTCGTTTTGCCGTTCATATTGGTAAGGTAATAGAGCATCTATACTTAAAAGGGTATGTGGCGGTCTAGCGTTCCCAGGCTAGTGGGTTGTACATGACTGAATAGAGAGATAGCAATCTGAGAATTAGAGCGATAAGATGATTTAGACTCCAAAAGACGTTCGATTACATATACATGATCCTCGCATGACTTAGAGATAACTACTAAGTGTTATAAGGAGGTGGGACGAACCTTGTTGATGGGTGATTGGAAGTGATAACAATTGATAAAGGCTGATAAGGCGCGTCAGAACGCAAAAATCGTCAATTCCGTTATGTAGCTTGCGCTGACACTAGAGCGTCCCTACTTACAAATTCTATTTGTAGTGATACGTGCACATTGTAAAGCATTGTGATACACTCTTAAATGTAATAGCAGTTCGTTGTAAATTCAACAGTCTTCAGCTAATGATTAAGTTCTTATTTATACCACGAATCCAGAAATACGATAAGTTTCTGGGTGCTAAATCCTCTATTTTATAAAGCGCTAACTTTGTGTGTCGGTTTGTATGTATGTATGTGTGTGTGTATGTATGTGTATGTATGTATGTATGTATGTATGTATGTATGTATGTGTGTCCGTCCGCAAAATGAAGTGAGTGAGAAGGAAGCTCATGGGATAAACAAACCGCTAACAAATCGGGTAGCTTACAGGATTTGAGATATCAATGTTTTGTAGCAGGATAGTTGTGATAACACTCTCAGGGCTATATAAACACCTGCTTAGCACACTTCCGTTCATTCCACATGGTGCTGCAGTGGCAGCTGGAGGGCAGTGGAGAGAGGAAGGGAGGATGAGGAAGGGAAGCGAAAAATCTACCGTCATATCATGATTGTGTCCCTTCTACTGTATGAAACACCATTGTGTTGCATACGCGTCACTTCCAGGTGTTGGTGTCACAGGAGGAAGGGACCATAGCGGAGGATAGCTTGCGCAGGTAAAGGAAGGCCGGGCGTTGACGGGACTAATCTGAGTAATTTTATGTAAATTGTAAATAAATAAATGATGCCTTAGCTTCTCACTTAGGTAAAAAGGCATATTTCGTTTTAATTCTGAGATTGACAGCAATCCTATTCACCGCTAAATTATCTGAATTCAAGAAGAATGCTGGATGTTTACAGTTGTGAGATAAATATGCCAGTTCAGCTTCAAGACGCTATCATCGCATAAATTCATCGACGGACTATCACAGCGAAGCTGGGAAAAGGATACTGAAAATCAAGTAAGCTTTGAGGTGCGGTATAGCTGTAATCATACATGCTGGTCATTCTCATCGGATCCTACAGACTTTGGCGCTAAAGCGCTCTTGTGTGTACTCGTTTCTCTTCACGGGACGGAGACATAGGCATGGATCATTACCTTCGGACCAACATAACGCAGCTGGCTCCGAAGTCACGCAAACACAGTACAGATGTCTCGGAGACTATAGTAAGCCGCGCGATAGGGGGCGGAAAGCAAACTGGTTTAAAATCGCGCCGAGAAAACTCAGGAGATAACTGAAACTACGCTTCAAGGCGAAGAGGAAGACCTGACTGGACCGCCGAATGGCTAACAATACTATTAAATATAATACACTGCTCCGCATAATTATAAAGCCACCTATGTTTTTCTGCAAAAACTCTTTTCCTAAGATGCGTTCGAAGAAGCTTCTATATGGAAAAGGATGTAGGTATAAATGTTCTTTTGCACACCAGCACAAAGTTCCAGCTTTGAAATTTGAAGAGTGTTTTTCTGCAATTTTTCGAAAAAGCCGCTCTCTGACCTATTCCGCATAATTATAAAGCCACCCCATACTTTCTCGTTGCCTTTCCTTCCTGCTCGATTGAATTTTTTTGTTGTTATCCACACTTCGTCTTTAGGTGAAAACGAGAGGGAAACCGTCACCATAATCTGATAAAGGTTGAGAGCCGGAGTCGCACAAGCTAAGTCGGCGCAGTTCGCTTCAGAGAAAACAATTTATCTCTCAGACGATTAGTGCCTAGGACTATGGAAGTCAAAATAATTGAGCTTTGTCAGATGTCCTTATTGTCCTGTTCGGATTTTCAGATGACACGCGATTATAAGGAGTAAGACCAAACCATTTACGATCAGGCTGTGTGCTCGAAAATCAAACCTTACTTGGAATTAAATTCTCCAACCGGTGTCTGTTCAGCGTCTGTGGCAGAACTGCAGGTTCATTCGCGAGTGAGAAATGTAAAGCGCATTGTTTATGACAACAAAACATCTCAAAAACTGAGACAGTTTTCTCAAGAAGTGAAGCCGAGCTGACTGGAGTGAGGGCGGTTTTTTATCTGTCATTTCTCACGATACACCTGCCTTTCTTCCAAAGTTCTTTATCTCCAGGATACGCTTCTTCATAAGAAGAAGTTATCTAGAGTAAGAAAATGTTTCGAGAAAGGAAGACAAGGCGTAGGAAATGACAGGTAAAAAAACCGCCCTCACTCCAGTCAGGTCGGCTTCACTTCTTGACAAAACTGTCTCACTTTTTGAGATGTTTTGTTGTCATAAACAATGCGCTTTACATTTCTCACTCGCGAATGAACCTGCAGTTCTGCCACAGACGCTGAACAGACACCGGATGGAGAATTGAATTCCAAGTAAGGTTTGATTTTCGAGCACAACTGATGCAGAATGTTTAGGTTCTCCATGTCTGCGTGTATCTGAATGCCGAACAGCAAATAGGGCACAGATCCCCAAAGCTCAATTATTACTCCCATATACCATACACGATGCTCGTAAAGAAATGATTTTCTCTTGATAAGTACGAACTGGGCACCGAGAATATTAGGCTGTGCGATGGCCTCCATCATACTATTTCAACGATTTTTTTTACATTTCCGGTATTCAGGGGAGTTTTCATCCTAAAGACGAAGGGTGGATAACATTCAACAAAAAATTCATATCGAGTCATGGGAGAGGATTATTGCACTGACGAAATTATAAAGGGGCTTTAATAAGATAAGATAATGTATTCGTAATAACTTCGTATAGCTATACGAAGTTATACGGCTTTTTCGAAAAATTGCAGAAAAACACTCTTCAAATTTCAAAGCTGGAACTTTGTGCTGGTGTGCAAAAGAGCATTCATACCTACATCCTTTTCCATATAGAAGCTTCTTCGAACGCATCTTAGGAAAAGAGTTTTTGCAGAAAACATAGGTGGCTTTATAATTATGCGGAGCAGTGTAGTTCCATTGGAAAGTCAAAGTCGGTACTACGGGCGTTCATGGAAAAGTAATTTTGCGTTTTGTAATGCTGCACACGTAAACGGGAATGGTTCCCGAGCCGAAATTCCCCAACAACCTCTGCGTGCCGGCTACAAAATGTAACCTGCCTGTCCACGAACGTGTAGTCCGCTGGAGGCGAGCATACCAACCGATGCCGCAGTTTTTCCGTTCTTATAATGTTCAAATTTCATTGTATTTCACTCCGAATAAAGCTTATTGTGCTAAAGTGATTTCCCAAAATTATTTATCGCGACCACTGTAGATAAGATTGTTCAGATTGGCACGGCACTCTTCCAAGCAGTATCTCCAATTTTCATTGCTCAGATGAACGGAATCACTCTAGACTTAGGACAGTACATCACACTATGGTAAGAAGGAGCTGCCTTCTCCCTAATAATGAGGAAGCACCTGATTGTCTCAGTAGCGCCAAATAACTGTCATTTTCCAGCGTAACTGCTTGCTTGGCATCGGCTGGAGCGGCGACTGTGCCCAGTTCTGCCCTAGTCACGATGATCATCGTTCTATCGGCTCTTGGACTGCCGGTTGATGACATCTCACTAATCTTCACTGTCGACTGGCTACTGTGAGTTGACAACTTACTTGTTAGCAGCTAGAGCTCATTTATCACCAGTTTATTCTTGAAAGGTTCAAGCCATCCAGCTTATTTCTAGGGATCGTTTCCGAACATGCACTAACATTGTGGCGGCCTCCATTGGATGTGGAATTGTGGATTACCTGAGCAGAAACGATTTAAGCAATCTTGATGCCATGGCGGAAACCGCTTCAATAGCATCGATTGTGTGTGACAGTTGCTCGACAAAGCTCGATTCCAGATCTCTCAGTCGAGACCAGAACCTTTTCGGAAAAACTCCATAGCGCCTACGAAAAGAATTTGTTCTTTGAAAGGATTAGCAAAAATGACACAACCTGGTCCTCAAAAACTGCATCAATTCGTTTGAGTAGATGTGGGCATTTTTGTAGCGTAGATCATCGATACTTCACTTCCAACTTCACTTGCTGTCAGGTTGTTGAGAATTGGTGCCCGGTGTATTTCCCTTTTACAACACAGCTATATTCAGCTTTCTGGCCG